AGAGTTATAAGCCGAAATTTCTCAAACCCGCGGCCGGGATTTACCTACGTGGACCCCTTCCTCGGACAGGGGATGAATTATCTATATGTCTTGCCCCCGGGGTCGTCCCCAGCTCTTAACCCCTTCTAAGGTCACACAGCTTCGGCGTGAGACTGCCCCCGTGGAAATTTATTTCTTTATACCGGCGCATCTCTTTCTGTAGCTTCTTTCGAAAGTTAATATTCTCCTTAATCTTTTCACGTCCGGGGGAGAGGGTGGAGACTTCGCGAAGAAGACCCTCGGCGCAACTTCGCGCCAACTTCGACGTGCGCGAACTTCCGGCCGTGTGTCTCGCATCGTCTCGTTGTTGCACGTTAAAAATTCGCCCGACACGAGAAAGAAAGAAAGAAAGAGAGAGGCTGCCTTTCAATTTGCTCTCGCTCTTTGCTTTTTTGTACGTGAGTCGACCTACGTGCAACCGACGATCCCCTCCCCTCTCTCCTCCGCTCTCTCTCTCTCTCTCTCTCTCTCTCTCTCTCTCTCTCTCTCTCTCTCTCTCTCTCTCTCTCGCTCGCTCGCTCTCGCTCTCTCTTTTCTCTCGCGCTGCCTCCTCGTCATTCCTCGCGATACAGAGCAAGCTCCGTGGCTTTGACGCGGACAACCCTTGGGCCATACCTCACCGACGAATACATGAATAATTCCCACGTCAGCACGGCACGGCGCCGCCGTCCGTCGCCGAAAATCGATATTCCATAAATGTGTAAATGTAACCGAATCCTAGGTGATTCCTTCGCCTAAGCAGAGGACGTAACCTCGCCTCAGCTGGACGGGCGCGTGTGCCGCGAAATGCATTAGCGTCGTCACGCGCGCACCACCTGCATCTACGCGCATCCGACATCTTCGACAATCCTCCGACTGACAATAGGATCGATAGCGCGGCTGCATACAAATCGTCTCTGTCATTATATATATATATATATATATATAACGTTGCGTCGCGCGATCGTGCCATCTGGACCGTGCCTGCCGCTCTCGTATAATTTACAGCTCCGAGACTGTCTCGTTTCATTCGTGTGTAATTTAACGGCGAACTTTGAAAGTTTTTCCGAGTTTTATTGCCCACGAGGAAGAGAGAGAGGGAGAGAGAAGAGGCGAGAGAGGAGAGGGCAAGCGGGAGAAAAAAGGAATAATTCATGTCGATCTGGCCAAACGAGCGAAACAGAACAAAAAAAACAACGGGACAAAAGAAAAATATGAAACGTTGTCACGATATATTAAAAAGGATTTTCCCGCGTTTGTATCGCGCGGGTTAACTCGCGAGGGACAGATTTATAGGCAATATCCTCCGCGACGGAAAATTCAGGGCGATAAAGGACACCGCGCGCACGCCGGCGCGCAGATATTTTTTTCGGGGCTCGCATGGAGAATATCGCGCGATCGATATCGCGCGCCGGAAATCACGATGTAATACGTCCACGAGCGTTTCCGGGCGTCGATGCGTCCCGTCAGACAGGCTCGTCACTTTGTCTTCTCGCTCATGTTTTTCTGCACCACGCGCACCATCGTGCGCCGTCAGCGCTCAGCGCGACTCCTCTCCTTGTCTCTCGTTAGCGTAAATTCAATCTCTCAATTTTTTTCCCACGAGGAAGGCCGACGCTTTAGCGGAACACGATAGCGCGCGCGGTTTTGTGTGTATATAAAATAAAATGAAGAAACACCGAGCGAGAGAGACCGAACGCTCTTTTTCATCGCTTCGGCGCAGACGAGGGGAAGAGGTAGGGGGAGGGGAGGAGGCTGATCGCCGCGTCGCGTGTTTTGTTTCTGCGCGGCCCTCCCGGCCGGCGGGGGTTTTTGCGAACGAAAATTTATCATCGGCGCCGCCGAGGCGTTTTACGACGGTGTCAAGCTCCAGCTTCAGCTGGAAACAATAGACGAGCGCGTAGGCAAACTCGCGCGCCGCGTATGGAAAATTTAACGTTGCAATTATAAATCGTACGATCGGGGCGGTTTCTGGCCGGCGCGTTCTTTCGACCGCGTGAAAAAATAACCAACCACGACTGGCGCTGGCGAAGCGCCCGAGAAAGAGAACAAACTCAATTTGCGAGACCGCGGATTAGACAAGCCTCTTTTTCCGTCCTCTAGTATTTACATACATGTACACACACATACATATGATCCAGTCTGACCCATCGTGGCTAAAGTGCGACGAACCTGTTATCAATCTTTCCGCGGCGCTAACTGAAACAAATTGACACGATCATGGGGAAAAAAGCTCTTCGCGATCGGGCTAATCGCAGCGATTCGTCTCTATTAACGTGCCTCGCCTTTCGAGAGGCGACGTCGCAGTGTGTTATCATCGTCGTATCGCACTGAAAAACTCTGAGAACGGGAAATTGGGACGAAATTACGACGAGCTGATTTCAGCGAGATTCCTCGCCGGGCGGACTCTTTCTTCTCCCGCTGCGCAAAAATAGCAGAACGCGCGATACGGGATACGGGGGGCGAGGTAGGTAGGCTTGAATGGCAATTAATTAAAGGAGGGGACGTCGAGGTGGGCGGAAACTCGATTCACGATGCGCAGCGAAATATGAAATTCAATTTGGACGTACGCGCGCGCCAGTCTGATCGACGAGCCTGAGAAATTTTAAAAAACTGCCATCTCGCTTCGTTATGGGTCTCGAGGAAGAGCAACGTCGTTGTTACTCACCGACCGTCGCGGTTAATAATTCCCGCGTCGGCGGAAAATCTGTACTCGAGGTAACGGATCAGCGTGGAAATTTTTTAGGATTTTCTCAAGTGTAGCGCAGATTTTGCGCAGAGTTCCCAAATTCATCTCGAGATTGATTATCCGGAAATGCGAATTTGGAATCCCCGAACACGATTCATCTGTCTGGAATCGAAGCAGAAGTTCCACGAGAACTCGCGCTTTTCTCGGTAAACGTAACGTCGACATGCTTTCACCTTATCAGCCAGGCAATTCCATCTTCGCATCGCTACTCGATCGCGAAAGACTCCGTTCGAGCAAACGGTACCGTGTTTCCAAGCGAGTCCCGAGACCGAAGAGAAATCGACAGGTGGCGGGAACGCAAGATTTATTCGCGGCGTTAAACGTCAATCACACGGCTCGGCCGTGTAGCGTACGCTATAATCGAGAGGAGGACAGTCAGCCAGTCAATCAGACGTAATTATCGAGTAAACCAGTTCTCGGTCTCTAGTTCACCCCGTTTTCTCTCCCGTCGTCGCTGCCGGATCACAAGATGCAAGGCCGCGCGCGCGTTTCGCCTAATGACATATGTCCAATCGCATAGAGTAAGCTGATGAATCCGATGAAACAAACGTACAAACGTACAAACGAGTGCGAGTTACTTGAGTCGCCGGGAAACACTGCAGCGCACTCAAGATCGACTGATCGGACGAGGAAAACGCGCGCTGCCCCGATATGCCGACTCCTTCTTCCTCCTCCGTTGAAAGCTCGCGAGAGAGGGATCGCGCGGTTTAGTTCAGCCGCGGACGTGCCGACGCTCGTGCGCGCGAAAATGATCGGGAAATCCGGTACAGCCGCGCGGAATTTTATCGGCGAAGCGCGAACATGGTGTGTTTCCACCCTCGGGTTTAATCGAACGAAAATAACACGTCCGCCCTTTTCCTCCTTTTTCTTTCCTCTCATTTCTCTCTCTCTCTCTCTCTCTCTCTCTCTCTCTATCCTCGCTGTAAGGTACGTGTCAAACACGGACGCTTCAATCCAACGGGGGCGATACCTCGCGCGTGTCCACAAGTAGGGAGGAAGCACGCTCGAAAAGTTGGGACGAGGGAAACCGAAGCGTCGCTTTGCCAGCGGCAATGTTTCACCTCGAAAGTACATTCGACGAGCGGCGAGCGATGCTTCGTACGCGCGTTTTAATATCTCGCAATTATCGCGACGACGTTATCGGGACAGTGACTATGGCGAAATTAGTCGTCGCACGTCGGCGACGTTCAGTTATCGCGAGCGTGATAATTATGTGAGTCGGAGCGCGCACGCGCGCGCACACACACACACACACACACACACACAGTTGTCAACTTCCGCTTTTAATGAGCTTCACTGCGCTTAATAATAAGCACCGCGGCGTGCAAAGGACTCGGGATTTGCATCGCGAAGGAACATTTGAATCCCAAGCTTAAACATTTAGCCGAGTCAACGGCAGCAGCGAGCGCTGCCGCCGGCGAGGAACAACCGCGCCAGCCTTCTCTTCCGCTTTCTTTTTTTCTTTTTGTGCCATTTTTTTCATTTGAGTTTGCATGAGCAATTCCCCCCTGCAAATGAATGCAAATGAATGTTGTTGTACAGCATGCAAGCACAGCTCTTCCCGGCGGGCGTCTCCTCACCCGCCTCTCCGACTCCTAAGCCACCCTCTCGTCGATGTAGTTCTCAAAAAGTTGGCCAAAATTCCCCCGGCCGTGAGACGCCGGTTACCGTTCTCGAAATATTTCGGTCGTCGCGCGCGAGCAAATTCACGTCGTAGCACTCGTCGGTCGTAAAATTCCATCTCAATCGATCGATCGATCTGGACGATCTGGATGTATCTTGCGCGATATTGCAGAAAACGGAGTTTGCGCGAAGAGTTTGCTTTAACGTATGTCGCTACAAACAATTTGCGCTTGGCGACAGAAGCCTGCGGATGAAGCCTTCGCTAGCATCCACGATTGAAATAAAAATCCACGCGCGCGCGCGCGGTGTAAGCAATGAAAATCCCGTAATCTTGCATGACAGATTTAAACTGCGCGATCGGTGATGGTCGGCCCGCTTCTTCTCGACCGACGGTATAATACACACCCGCGAGAAATGTGGCTTCCTTGATTTGTTCTGCTTTTAAACCTTCGCGCGCGATGGAGTCGTTGCCGCGACGTTTTGGCCATTTTTTGAAATCTGACGCGATCCGCGAGATGAATGGCCTTGCCGGAAGCATGAAGCTCCCTAGCAAAAGTACAAACAGCCACGCGACCTTTCTTCTAATTTCCTGCGCGCTCGGTTGTTGCAGGCACACACTCCTCTTCTCGCGGCCGACACGAGACACGTAAGTAGAAAGTTGCAGGAGCAAAAAAGTAGCCGCGGCAAGGAGAGATCGTTAGCGAGTAGACCGCGAGAGACCGCGGGAGAAGAATCGCCGTCGCGTCGCGTTTCCTTCCACTCGGACGTTTGACTCGGCTGATAAAATGCGCCGGCCGAGTATCAGCCGGTGAGATCGGCGCGCGGGGACACCGTCTTATCGTTTGTCGGCGTCGAAAAATTGCCTCGCAAGTTTGGTGAAAAAAGAGGGGAGGCGCGATAACTCACCTCTCCGCTCTCCGGGGGGAGGATCTTATTAATTTCATCACGTTTCCCCCCCCCCCCGCGCGCGCGCGCGCGCAGCCCTCGTCGCACTCGACGTTACGCCGCTTACGTTTTTTCCGTCGGCGCGCAATTGGGTCGGATTTGCATATGATTGAACCGCCGCGGCGATAATGTCGCGTCGATAATCGGCGGGCGTTCGTTTCGTTAATTGCACGGGCGACACAATTAACAAATCCCACGTTACAAACCTCCCCCCCCCCCTCCCCCGTACCCTGGCGTTTTCTGCGAATTAATCGACCGCGCGTGTGCGCGCGAATCGCATGCCGCGATGATGTAATAACACCGACATCGCGATGTCCGCTACCTTTATCGCGGCCAGCCGTGCATTCAGCCGCGGCGGGATATAAATAACGCGCGAGGTGTGTAAACGCGGAAGCGACCGGCAATAACGCGCGATCGGCTCGAGTTCGTCATCCGGCGCGGGGATGCCGGCCGGGAAGCCGGCCTCCGACGCCGACGACCGCGTCGAAAGATAGAAGAAGAAAGATAGAGAGCAAAAGTTTTGGAAATTGAATTGAGCGACGCGGTCGCTCGCAGGCTGCAGTCACGAGCGTCTTCCGCGACGAAACAAAAGAAACGCGGCGCGAGACCGCGGGCGGCCGACTTGGGCCGCGCGCATTTGAAACTTCATCGCGACGTAATTGCAGTTTCATACCGCCACCGCGGCGGCTCCCCATCAATTACGCGCGCAAGAAGAGACGTAACGGATAATTATTTGTCCCCGAGTCATTAGCGCTAACGATCGCCCCCTTACCCACCCTTGTCGTCCTCACTCCAACCCTCGCACCCGCCCCCTGCCCGCCTGCGGGCTTGTAGAATATTCTAATCTACGAGCAACGATTTCGTTCGCGACATACCCGCTCCTTGATCGCCGTTTAATCGGTTAACTTGGACTTGGATTATTATCCGCGTATCTTTAAGCGCCTCGACCGCTTATCGACGCGACGGATGCGGAAGTATTCGGCCCACCGCGAGTTTCCTTCGGTTCTCACTCACCTTCTCCCCCCTTCTTCCCCTGCCTCTATGCCCCCTGCCGTCAAGGGGGTGCGCGCGCGCCCTAAAATCGATTCGGTAATATATGTAGGAAACGGTGTCATCTCTGCTTCCGTCTGAGCGCCCGCTTCCGACCCACGTCGAGCGGCCTCGTCCAATTTGCCGCGAAATTAATCCAGTCGCTTCTTGCGGGAGTTCGCCGGGACTTTAACGACTCGTCTAGTTCTAAGTGATTACTAACGTTGCTCTTGGAGATTTCGCGTCCGTGAAATCCGTCTTACGTTCGTCTCAGCGAGCTCGCGGATTTGCTCGTAACCGGCGAGTCTTCCGCGCCCGCGACTCTCGGTCTCCCTCCTCCTCTGTCCTCTTTGTGTCCTCACGGCGACGATCGATTTTTCTCGCAGCTCTAGAGACGACTCGCAGCTCGGCTCGCAGATCGGCCCCAGACAATCGAATCCCCTCGCGCGCGCGCGCGATCATGCACAGAATTCATAGCGACAGCGATGTTAATTCGCAAAGTATCCTGGCGGCGTCGCTCGACATGGACGCTAAATCCCGATAGCCGAGCAGCTTAAAATAATTAGCCCACGGCGCGGGAGTTAAGCTCCGCCGGTTAACCGCGCGTGCCGACACACACGCGTGTGTCGCATACGCGCCTAACGCGGTTCCCCCTCCCCCCCCTCCCCTCCCCTCCCCCCTCCCCCGGGCATGCGTGAGTAAATGAGAGAGTGAGTGAGTGGTGGATACGCGCAGCCCCGACGAGCAAAATATTCGCCGCCGTGTCGCGTATAAATCCGAACGTCGGGCTAATTAACTATCGCGACGCGTATGCGAATCGATGGATTATTTAATCGTGACATCGCGCCATTAACTGGAGGATCGGCGTGTTCCTCGCCGATATTACGGTATAGGCTCGTTATTCAACGGATTATAGGTAATACCGAACGTGGACGAGTTGTTAATGCGCGCGCGTAACGCCAAGAACGGACGCGAGGCGCTGCTTTGATTTCGCGCAAATGCGGCGGGGAAGGGTTTCACCGCGGTTAAACTTCGGCGGGGTCGTGTTCGAGGCGAGTATCGGCAGCCGCGAATCTCTGCTAGAAAAGTCCGTCGCCGAGACGATCTCGCGCCGGAAACTCCGACGGATTTCAACCAACGACGCGGCAACCGCTCGCTCCCTCCCTCCCTCCCTCCCTCCTCTCGTGATGCTCCCTCCAGCGCGACTGCTGCTGTTTTAAGACATTATTCATCCGGGGCTGATTAGTCCGCGTCGGTCGGCGGCCTTTTAAATCACCCTTGTCTCTCGAACGTGCAAACACCCCCGTTACCTCCTCCTCAAAAGTTCCGCCAGCCAGTTTCTCCTCGGGGAAGATTCATAGCGGGCCTGATTCGATTTGCAACACCGTTTGAAATTCAGGCGAGGGCGTATTTCATTCGTCGACGGTTGGGCGAGGAGGAGGAGGAGGAGGAGGGGGGTTGAGAAGGTTACCGGGGGGCCGGGCGGCCGGTGAATATCGAGCTTGCCAAATGGAGTAAACTGCAGCCTCCGGCTCGTGTAATCTTCCGGAAGTCGTCGTCTGCCGTCGATTATATTCTCTCTCTCTCTCTCTCTCTCTCTCTCTCTCTCTCTCTCTCTCTCTCTGTCTTCCCCTCTCTCTGCCTTTCGCTTTTCGTTTGCCACTTCGTTTCCCTCTTTTTGTCTCATCACCCGCGTTCGCTCTCTTGTTCCCTCCATCTCTCTGCCGCTTCGCCCCTTGGCCTTGGCGGTAAATCAAGCGAAAGGGGTGCCGCAGTGTGATCCAGCGAAATGAAGCCAAGTCGTTTTTGCGGAACTCGTCGACGCGAGAATCATATTTTCCGCTGGCTCGCCCGGAAAACTCTGTTCGCCGGCGTCGTCGCGCGGAAAAATCTCGCGCGACCGCCGCGAAATGAGCACCCAGCTTGAATAGGAAAGTTCACGGCGCGACGCGAATTCCGCGAGCGGCACGTCAATACGTTCCCGTGGACATCGGTCCCGCTACTCATTTCTTTCGGATTACGCGTGTCGCATATTTTCCTCGCTGCCGAATACCCCGAGGGAAAAGACCCACTGTTTTATGTAACCTCCGTAAAAAAAAAAGAAAAAGAAAAAAAAACGGTAGATATGCGTTAGTTGCTTCCGACGCGGTGCGCGCGAGCGACGACAACGACATTGGCGACCTGGTAAAATCCAATTTTTTTTTACGACGGGGTTACGAAGGGGTTGATTGCGCAGGCGCACAACGTATCGCGTAAAAAAGAAAGCTTAAGCGCGGATTGATTATCGAGGCGATCGAATATCAAGCGACTCTTGGAAAGATGCTTTTTCCAAGTGCTTTTCACACAACGCAGAGGAGATGGCGGTTCTAGCGTAGAATAATTTCCCGTGTAACGTTACACGTCGAAATTCTCCGTTGATCCTTTCAATTTGACGGTGTTTGCGGGACATATGAAGGTAGCAGCGAAATTTCGACTCGGCTGTATCCTCTTCGTCGCGTATTTCCAGCGACTCGTGTCTCCGCATTCCTGACAAGGGAGCGTCGTTGAAACTGCGACATTAAATTATTATCATGCCCTTCTCTCTCTCTCTCTCTCTCTCTCTCTCTCGGCGAGTTATACGCGCGGCTGCTCCTGTAATATTAGTCCTCGACGGAAATATCGTGACCGGCAAAACCGGCGGGGCAGCGATCGCTAGGGAGCACGAGCGGGGTGACGAAATAATTTCGTTGCTGCTAATGAGGACTGTAACGTCCCGAGGTGCTTATCCGCGCGCGAGTCATCCCGTAAATCCATTTCCCGCGCGGCAGTGAATCCGCCGGATCTTCGATCGCCGGCCGAAATTCGGCGCTCGAGCAGCACACAGCAGCAGCAGCAGCGGCGGCCGCCGCGTCCTGCTCCCGCGGGAAAACATCCCATCTCGCATTATCCCAAGCCGTCGAAATCCCGCTTCCATCAGGACCTTCATTCCGCCTGCCTTCAACCGCCGTATTTTCCGCCGTGCCAATATTGCGTCCCGGTCATAATGTTTATGAGCGTGTCTCAAGACGCGATTAAATCTTCGTCACCGTGGCAACGCTGAAACGTCCGCGCGCGCGCGCGCGCGCGCGGCATATTAAAAGTATACATCCGGCGGGGGAGAGGGGAGGGGGGGCAATTAAATCACCGTCGGTGCTTAGAACGGAGCCCGCGCTAAACTGTACAATCTTCGTCGTTAATCCAAATAATATCGGGATTTCGCGGTGGATTAAAATCGAAGCCGGCGGTGCGCGCAGCGTTCTCGTCAGCCGCGCGAGTATTTCGGACGCGATTTCGGAGATTGAATGATCGTAATCGTGGTTTGTGCCGCGTCTGGTTTGTATGCGCGCGTGCATACTTGCGAAACTATGATAATCCGCGCGATATTTATTTCATCGCGAGATTAGTTGGCTGTTTCGTGTTATATATTATCGGCCGCGTGTTCATCGGAATAATCGATACCGCATCCCTCCCGACACCATCCATTAGCGGTTAGGGATCATCGACCAGTAGCTCATGTTGATTACCACGTGGTGCGCCTCCTCCTGGCACTTCCTGCGCTTCCGCCCTATAGCGTTGCGCATTATAGGCTGCCGGTATTATAACGGGACATGTCGTATAAATCACGTCGAATGACGTGCATGCGTCGCTCTCTCT